TAAGTGTCAATGTGTCTTTTTTTTTTTTTTTTTTTAATGTTTTATCTGCTTTATGAAAGAACAACTTGATTTCCAGTACACGTTTTCTACAAAAATTCTGATTAGAAGGAGAGGCATAAATAACAAGTAAAAACTTCAGTAGTATTATTGTGAGAAACAAGGGTTTAACACAGTAAGAACACTCATTAAGCACTTATGTAAGCTGCACAGTGTTTACCCAGGTTGCAAAGTTTGGATGCGATGTTCTGCTCTGCTTTTAACATTGGCTTTCTCTTCATGTACCTATTCAAATATGTAAGTATTATTAAAGCATACCCCCAGCTGATTGTGGCAGAAAATATTGCTTGATGAAGCATGTGAGTTTTGACAATTCTGGTTGCAAACAGTTCTCAAAACCAACGCTTTCTTGGCAAATTTGTGTAGTTCATGCATATGCTAAGAATTATTACCGTTAATTTGGAGAAAAGGTTTCATGGAAGCTGAAACCGTTTGTTTTGGAACAAACAGAAAAAAACTGAAGGACTTGCTTACTTACTTGATTAAATGCAAAAGTGAGACCGCACGTAGGATTTTGTTGTGCTGTGATAGAACTTATTTTACCAGCCACTTTCATAACCTTTAAACAGCCTTAAATAGTACATATGAAAAACACATTCATAACAGATTCCCCACAGGGAATTTTCTTTGGTTTAAGAAAATTTTATTAAAGATTGGCATTGCAAATAACATTTTTCATAACTATATGTAGACCTGTTAAAATTTTTATTAAAACTGGAGTTTGGCCTGTTCTTTTTCATCATTCTATCAGATATTAAACTCCAGCAGCAGCTGTAGGAAATAGAGAAAGGGATTTTCAAAGGGATTTGAGTCTCCCTGTCTCTGTGCCTTTAGTGATCATATTATCATAACTATCACACATAACAAAGCTCTAAATCTGTAATTCAGATAAAGTAGTCAGGACTTTGAAATACAAAAATCCAAACATATGCTGTAACATTTTTTTTGCAGTCCTGGCTCCTTTAACATGGATTTTGTAAACTTGAAGAGGTATCCAACAGATTTTGTATACTAACACATCTAAATGACATTATTACTTAAACATTGGACTGACACTTAATGAACGGTATGTTCTATTATGCCTACCGTGGTTTCACTAAGAACGTGTCAGACACTGTTCTCCAAATGATGTGCAAACCACTAAAGGTTAATAAGAAATGATGTTAGAAGTCTTTTTTTTTTTTTTTTACTGAATTATGTAAGCTAAACTGCTGTGGAGGCAATGCCCGTCTCCTCTACAGTGTGTGAGCCCTGGTTCATGAGGACACAGCTCAGCAAAGTGCTGTGTTGAAATGGTAAGTGGGAACACAATTCTCTGATGAACTTAAAAAGCTGAAAATGCAAGGTACTGAAAGTCAAAGAGGTTAACTTTTAAATTAAGAGCGACGTGGTGCAAAAGAAATGGTTTCTGAAGTATTTTAAGTACTTCTGTATGTTTATTTACATTGAGAGGATGGTTTTCATACTAAGTGCCTAGGGAAAACAGTGGTTGTATTGTGAAAAGTTAGGAAAACTCAAAATCTCAGTATCAAACAGGCTTGTAGATGAGCAGTAGCTTATATATTTATTGTAACACTGCCTTCTGCTGGTCACACCTCATTTATGATGTAAGTGAAAATGCTGTATAATAATGGGATGTTCTGTTTGTCTGAAATTGTTCTCAGATATGAGACAGTTGGTGCTTAGGAAATATTTGTATGGAAATAGTGTACCTCTATCAAACTTGTATATATTAGGGACAAACACATGGCACCTATGTTGTATGTTTACAGCTGTTAAACTGATACTTTCTCGGTCACAGCTGAGATAATTTTTCATGTGTAGCATGTAGAAGAGTTATTACATCTTTCCACTTGGTTGTTAAATTGATTCTTACTTTAGATATTTCTGCAGACTCAGATTTTTCTGCTTGTTTCTGTGTTTTTGTCCCGCTGGAAGGCTTTGTTTGTCAGAGTATATACCAAGCAAGACATCTGCAGAGAAATTTTTGTTTAATGACGACAGTCTAAATATAACAGAGACTTTTAGATCTATGTGTTTATGTAGATATTTAAGCACGTGTTTGCATGAACTGCACTTTTTGTTGGTAAGTGCTTCATTATTCCTCAGCTGGCCGTTCAAAATACACACATATATTATGATAATAACTCCTTAGAGGAAAAGGGCAGGATTTAGAACATGGTTTCTGTTTTACTATCGAGAATGTAGAACACAGCTTTTAATTTTTAAAAAATCCTCTATGTAACGCAACAGTAGGGAGATTTTTTTTCTGTTTTCTTATATGTATAAATAGTAAAAAGTGTAATGTGAATTTATATATATATACCTATTTGCACGTCTGTCAAAATTAAGGAAAATATTTACCACTGTCTGATGGCTTTAACATAATAGGTTGAAGAGATTTGAAATGATTCTGTGTTTCATCTGGATATAAAACCTGAAATTAAAAGTCGAATATTCACTAAGAGTTATCTTCAGTTGCAGAGAATATAATGGGTAAAACATGAGTTTACTCAAACATTGGCATGCATGTCTGGCTGCCTACAGTAAAATTAATGACTAGATTGTGCAGTGTGGGAAATTTTTTATTTTACTTTGGTTTTCCTGAAGAAGCAAAACCCTGCTTTAGTTGCCCGAGGCTATGTTTTTAAGCACCTTTATTACAGCACAGCTAAAAACCCAGCTATCTGACAAAATGCATTCTGTTTTATTGCAGAGGATTACTTCAAAAAGCACAGTTCTGTACATTCTAGGGATAATTTAAACACCAGCAATCCCTATTGTGCAGCAAATAAAGAGTAATTATCCACAACGCATACTGGAATTGCATTTTAATGGACAAGGCACTTCAGAAAGTCTGCAGATGGTACATTTCCTCTTTTAAGTTTCTTCCCTGAATCGGGGGCCTCGCCCGACAGCCTGAGGAGCTGTACCCTGACTGCATGGGATCTCAGAGGAGCCCCAGCCATGGCTCACAGACCCGCCATCCTTGGAGGATCACTACAGTCCCATCTGACTCGTGTAGTATGAACTTCAGGTTTTAATAATCAAAGAACAGCCTAACTCCATGTGCGCATGTTTTTAAATTCCAAATCTCGTCTTAGATGTAGCAGTAATTAAAAAGTCACTTGTAAAATGGTAATGGAATCAGCCTTGTAAGAGCAGATATAGCAAAATGCATAATGAAATGCTTGATGCCACTGCTAGGGCTGAGCTGGGAAAGACTGGGTCCTGCTAAAAATATAGAAAAATATGGAAAAATACCAGTAAGGATTTAATCTTTGCTGGTGCAGGGAAAAAGGATTTAATGGACAGAGAGCTGACCAAGAACTGTGCAGTACTAATGAAGTTTCTTTTACCTTTTTGTGGATAGCAGTTGAACTGAACTATTCTTACGAAATTCAGTGAAAATCCCTGTTTATTATATATTTGTCTCAATGTGTTAATTACAAGCATCTGTGCCTGTGATTTACTCACATGGGTGAGCTCGCTTGTATATATACTCATAGAACATGTGTAAGAGCAAAAATCTCAGAGTGGATTTACGTTTCAGAGTGGTCACAACAAAATACAAATGTACTTAAACCTGAGTGTTAAAGTGTGTGTATCCAGAGAGATAATATGTGATAGTGGGCAGCGTAATTCACTCTCATTTCTCTGAGTTAGTGAGGACTGCATAATTCATGAATGGCAGAGTAAAGTCAAGCCAGGATTGAGTTGCACATGGACATCACTATTGACTGTGTACATCGCATACTGCCCTTCTGGCTATATTTTTTTAAAAATACGTTGTTTTTTTTTTTTTTAATGTTGGCATTGTTGTCTTTTCCATTCCTGATTGTTGAGGCTATTTTCCAATGATATCTTTATAAAAGTTTTTTGTGTTGTCCAGAAGAAAGGGATTCCTTTCTTCCACTCAGATCACTTTATACTGGTAGGCATCAGAGCATGGCTGACACTGCTGTTGGGCTTTCCAAAATATCTTCTAGTGCTTCTGCGTTTTTATTTCACAATTGTCTTTGAGCTCTTACTGCTCCCTTTAGTGTGTATTTATTCTTATGCATGATCTTTTATTTCAGACTTATTGGGCTGTTTTTTTCCTCTTTTTTTTTTTCTCTTTTCTTTTTTGTGTCCCTGTATGTATTGTTTAGATTATACAACCTGTAATGGGCTTTTAGGAAATCAGATGAGTAGGAAAACAGCAATTGATTATTCCTTATACAATAGCAGAATTAGCAGAGCTAAAACCTCCTCATAATCTAAGCCTGATCAACTGCGTAATGAAACATATTTCAGAGCTTTAGATACAGAGGAAAGATCCATGTATGTTTTTATTAAAAAAAAAAAAAAAAAAAAAAGCTTTAAAATACTAAGGATAAGAAAGTAAAAGCATAAGCAAATCAACACTGTCATTTTACACTTACAAACTTATATCCAAAAAATCCATTTTCAGTCTATTATTTTGTTCAATTGGTCCCTGAAATTCCAAAGCCGAAAAGTACTTGTAGAAGTCTTTTTTTTTTTTTTTTCAGCCAAGTTTTTATTTACTAAATGAAATATTTTGTTTGTGACATAGAGGTGTTATGAAGTGGATAAATTTCTTCGATTTGTAATATGGGTTGCAGATTATATATCAAAACATGTGGATTACAATGATTAAATATGTATAAAATCAGCATAATCCATTCATATGTTTGTAAGGACCCAGAGTCCTCCAGAGAGAGTCACAAATCCACTTGATGTTCTGGAGTGCTGGATTTTTTTCCTTCCTGATTTTATCTGAAATGTGTGTAAAAATTCAAAAATCAAAGGGATCCCTCTTGGTTACAACTAAGTAGTCTAAAACACATGTATTTATCCTGCCTAAACTTGGTAGAGCCCTGTGCTTTTGTGCTTTTTTTTCCTCTCTATTTTTCTTTGAAAATGATCTATTTCCATTTCAGCTGGCAGCACCTATCTGGGAGACTTGAAGCAAACAGTTCATTTCGAAGTAAGCCCCATCTCTCCTAGGGAGATCTTTCACAGTGTGAACGGACGTCATTCTGAGAGGATCCCAGGTATTTGTGAGATGTCTGTCTACATTGTGTGTTAAAAGAAATGATTTCTTTCATGTCTTTTGAAAGCCTATTTTGCCCAGACGTTCAGAAAGCCGTAACATGAGCATATGTGGGAGACAATTAAGCCAATCACGTACAATCCTAATTCAATTTATTTTTGTGTTTTTACTACTCTGCTTTGTTTCTTAATTTCGAATGAATAACCCTAAAATATGGGTTACTCACTCTCAGGGGAAAAAGAGGTGCCAGTCTAGGAATGTCCTGCATAGACCCGCTTATCTGTAAAAATAGATATAACACAGGGAGAAAAATCCCATGTTATGCACCGGTGTGACTATCACCCCTCTTTCACACCAGTTTTACACCTGTGTCAATTATCACCTGCATTCTGTCCATCTCTACTGGCTTCGGCAGGAGACGAGTGAGCTTTAGAATAAATATCCTATTGTGTAATTATTTTAGTTCATTGAAATGTTTTTAGGTTGGTTGTTTTTTTTATCTAATTAGAAGCATAAAACATTTCCAACATATTTCATAAGCACTGAGAAGAATCAAACACGCTGAATTTTTTTTCCTTAATTAAGCGGAACAGACGAATTTCAATTTTTCATGACAGCCATTATTGTAAATCCTGTAAGTAATACTATTGCGATCATTCTGGGGGCATCAGACAGGTATTTAACAGTTTGGTTCATGTTGCCTAGGACAACAAAAATGCTGCTATGCTGCATCTCAAAGCTTCTGGGATGAAATGAGTTGTGACATACCAGGGAAGATTAAATTTGTAACAGATAGAACACCTTTGAAGTACTAGCTTATGATTTCACAGTGGCATTAGGAGTCTTACTGCAGTATTTAAGCAGTTAGAAAGAATGCTGGCTATTAGTGGTTGAATTTTATAAAATAGGATTTTATTGTCTTTTAAATAGCCATGACAGCAGTTTGTATTATCCAAGCACAACATTTTTATTACCGTGTATTACTGTTGCAGAAGTGCTTTTTCACACTCCCATGTATAAAACTGAGGCACTTAACCAGGTGAATATTTTTTTCTGTTGTTCACTACCATATCACTGAATTTTAAATGCAGGCCTTTCCTTCCTTTATTTTTTTTTTGTTGTTGTTGTTTTGTTTTGGGTTTTTTTTTTTTTTTGTTGTTATTTTCCTGTTCTCCTTTCCTCTTTCTTCACTTGGTCAGTGGCTTAGACAGAGGGGAAAGAACAGAAACATTCACTGTTTGTCTCAGATAACACTAGAATATTAGATGTCCAAAAATGTTGCAAGCCTGTACATTTTTACATATGGTAAATGACTTTTAAAAAATAATAGCATAATTTCAGATGTCAAATATGCCTTTATCATATGGCTTTATGACCTGATATTACCAGTATGTAAAGCTACTATGCTTTATGTCTGAATCTGATCACATCAAAATTTCCTGCAATATCATATAACAGTAATAGAGACTCATTCCGAAGAATAAAGTCTAGAAATCTTCAAGTATTCATAAAATCATTTGGGAGGGAAAAGGCATGAGCAATAATCTTGTAAGGATTGCTGTACTCTGTATTACAATTTCCAGTGTTACAAATTTGTGAGAGATGGCTTAAAATATTAATCTCTGTATTGGTGAGATCTTTCAATGAATCTCTAGCCTTCAACGGGTTAATTTTCAATGAGGGTCGGGTTTTATATGTTTATATTTTCTTAGCCTTGGTCAGGAGAAATGGCTTTGCTTGCCCTTGTGCTATGCCAAAGTGATAGGGTTTCATTCGTTTGAAAACCTAGCACATCCCAAGAGGTTACCTTGGTGTAGATTTCTTTCTTTCTGTATTAAATCGCTCATTGTCACAAAGTGACTAGTGCTGCTGGGCTTTGAAAAGAACTTCTAAGAGGTTAAAAAAAAGCTTCTGTATGGAAGGATTTTTCAGTTCTGCAGACAGAATACAGTTTGCAGCTGTTTGACTTGCGACAGTGATATGGATCTGATTGTATACAGTATACTAGGAGCCATGGATGCAGCTGGAATAGAGGTTATAAATTTTAAAAGCAATGCAGATTTTGGCCATTAATTGGCTGCTAATAAAAGCAAACTCAATGGGTTCTAACTGTGGGAGCCTGTAGCTCTGTATCTGATGTCAGGAATTCATACACATTACACAGTTTTAGTGATTCAGACCACGACTAATTGAAATATGAGGCATACTGATCAAATTTAGCATTACCAGCATGCACTCTGGTTTGGGACTGTATGGCGACAAGGTAGCATTTATTACTTATTCTCCATAACACTGCCTGATTGAAATATCTAGCTATGTTGTCAGCAGAGGCCCAGCTGGGCTTTAGTACAGCTAATTAAGTCATTAAAAGAGAGGTCAAGCAATCTAACTCTTGCATACTAAACTACATAAAAGTCTTTATTATATTTTTTAATAAGCTAAGATTTGAATTTTTAAACAAGTTTGTTTTAATAATAAATGCATTTGTGGGCCGCTTTGTCTGGGGCTTGATTAAAATAGGCATTTGTTAGCAACAAAGTGAAAACTTTTTGAGTCTTAGTTCAATAATGATATAAAAGAAAATGAAAATGAAAGAAAACAAACAAACAAACAAGAAAACCCCATGCATTGTGCATTTTTTTGAAGTGGCTAACAGATAAGCCTAACTCAGGATGACAACAGAAATGCAGCTGACTGCAAGCAAGCAGAGAGAAGCTGGTTGTTAATGCAGAGGGTACGACAGTGCAACATGTATAGAAACACGTATTTCTTACCGGCAACTTATCCACTGGCATATTGAGTGGCAAAAATGCAGCTAGACGGAGGTGTTTCCTACAAACTAGGTTTGCATTAATGTTAGGTGGCTATTGTTATCTATGTTATGAATTTAGATGGGAGGGAGACTGATGAAGTGAAAGAGCAGCTATTTATTCTAAGACTTGAAGAGAAACAGACTGTGGATTACCTTCCTCAATTTGGAAGAGTGAAGCAGGGAAAGGATGACTTAGTACTACTTATGTTTCCCTTCCTCCCATTCTTCCTCTTGTGGTGGTCAGTGTCAGAGACAACGCAGGATAGTTTTCTCAGATTCTACATGTGGAAGAAATTCTTTCTTCATGGTTTGCATTGGTGACCTTGCATGTGTATCAGAAATTGAAAGAAAAGGATTTTCAAGTACAGTGATGATCAAAATATATCAAAGTTGCAAATCGCAGCTTGTTGATTCCTTGTCATTTGATGCACAGAAGGACTGTGGGGCATTCAGATTTATTTTTTTTTTTTTTTAGTGAATTGGGAGTACTTTAAGAAAAACAAAATTATAGCTTACCACATCCATTGTTTTTTTCCCCCTCTATATTAAGTGACAGTAATAGAGAAGAAATACGGGTACAGTATTTGTACAAGACAAATATCGTGGGAACCAGGGAATTTTTTTTGTTTTTGTTTTTCTCAACCAGAAAACTTAACAGCAGTGAATTTATTAAAGGATTTTGTTTGAAAATGAACAAATATTAACACCTGGCAAAATGAATTGAATGTCAGTTTGTAGATGCTTTTTGAAGCTGTACAAAGATAATCTTAAAACCCCAAATCCCTGATGTAAATCAAGTGGTTTCTTTGAGGTCAATCATTACTGCTACAGACTCTGAAAACTGGGACTCAGTAGGGTGTATATTCTGAGTGATAGTACCTAATAGTGTTGACAAGCTGCACATTTCCATTATTGTAGAAGGTTGATCTTACTCATCTTCTTTGGCTCAGACTTTGAAATTTGTTTCTTAAATACCTGAGTAAACAATGCAAATCTTAGCATCTGGATTAGAAGTATGTTATTTCTTTTAAACAAAAAGCATGCCAAAAGTATGTGGTTAGGAATTTGTAGTGTAGATATAAGGAAGCAGAGGAATTGAGGGAAAACTAATAAAGAATCCCAGGGGTCAGCTGTCTAATATTTTTTTTTCCTTTATTAGAAGTATGAAGTATTTTCTAGAAAAAACTGCATTTTTCAGGAATAGGAAGATAAGGAGAGGTCTATGGCAGTAAAAATTGTTACGTATGACTTAGTAACTTGACACACAACATGATTGGCTTTTATTTTTGCAGCAAAAGTTGATTTAGTGTTATATTTTTTGATAAGATTAATTTAATCACAGTTGTATTGGCACTAGAAATGGTATATTGTGTTTCAGTGCACTTACCAGTAGGTGCAAGAGGAGTTGAGAGGTATGAGGTATGAGAGGTATGTTGAGAGGAGTTTTCTGAACCTCGGAAGATGCATAATAAATAGAAGCATACTGAAGTAAAAGGGGAGTCTGTCTTGTGAATTCAGATCTGCTTCTGTTACCACTGGAAGTTGCTTCCTACCATGTCTATTAGGTTGTTCTAAGTTCTCCTTTACTCTTCTGGAAGGATTTTTTAAAAATTACAACTATTAAATCAATATGCATCTCAATGTATCTTTAAATATATTGGATTGATTCTATCTTCTTTACATTACAACTGTGAGAGATAAAGTTGCAGAATAATGAAGGTCATCTAGTTAATAAAATTTTCCTAAATTTCATAGTTTTTATAAATAGAAGCATGCTACGTGCAACGGGATGTCTCACAGTCTTTTCAGAGCCTTGATCTTTTTCATTTCTCTTTTCCTCAGTTGAAAGTTAAGAGCCAGATGAAAAACAAGCAGAAAAATAGAGTGGTCCAGTAGCAGTGGGTTACAAGAGTGACCATAATGCCTGAAGAGCAAGAATATGTACCCACAGTCTGTCTGTAATGATGACCCTCTATGTTTATCAAGCAGAGAGCAAAAGAGTGAAAACAGAATTAGTGTGTATAACAACACTTTGCTCTAACATTCTCTTGGCCTCTGATCATTTTAGGATATATTCAGAGCTTTTTCTAGAT